AGAGACCTTTCTAAACTGGCTTTCATACCTGACTGACACTCAAGATGGTTCAATAAGTCACCAACACATTGATGCATTTATTAGACCAGTTGAGTTTATCCACTTATGTGGACAGAGACCCAATAACCTCCTACAAGTCCCAGCGGGTCCCACCTCTTCTTCGTGATGTAAATTTATGTCTCCACAGGAGATTGGGAGCACCTTCCATGGTGGCACATTAACAGTCGGGATATCCCAAAACTTCACCTCAGACCTCAGTGTCCCCAGGCTTCTTCCACACAACTCTCCCCTTATAGTCTCAGGAGAACTATCAGCAGTTCACGTGTGCTCATTCTCATCAGGTAGGAAGAGAAAGATCTCATGACAAGACTCCAGTAAAAGAGCTGGAGAAACGACTTGGTGGTTCAGAGAACTTGATGTTCTTCCAGAGGACCAGAGTTCAATTCCTGGCTTACAGCCATCACAACCTTCATCTCCAGGGAGTCTGACACCCTCTCCTAGCTTCCGTGGGCTTTGCCATGCATACTTAGCACAGAGATTCACAGACACAAATAAAAAAATATTTAAAATTGACTAAGGAATTCAGTGAAAGCCTAGGGTTTAATACCATTAGTACACCCCTCTGCCATTGTAAAGTGTAGAATACACACACACACACACACACACACACACACACACACACCCCACAGGGTGGGGCAGTTGATAGAGTTGAGATATCTATCCAGTTAGGATTTGCCAAGGGTGACTCCAAGCTCTGTGATTTCCATGGCGCCTCTGAGTCATGCATATGTGAGTTTGTTACCCATATAGATTACTGTAAGTACTATAGTGGAGATATGCAGGACCATTCCATCCGAGAGTCCTAATGGGTCAGGACTTGCATTCACCTATCCGTCATGCTTCCTGCTTACCTGATCCTTTCTGTTTGTAGATTTAAAAAGCAAGGGAGGTGGGATGGGAAAAGAAAGTTTGTTTTTTTAAAAAAGAATTCAAAGCAGTGAGCAGAAGAGATGTTTCAAAAGTTAAGAGCACATAGTACTCTTGTGGAGGCCTGAATTCAGTTCTCAGGACTCTTGCTAGACAGTTCACAACTGCCTGTGACTTTAGACCAGAGACAGATATTGAGGTTCAACCTGAAGATTAGAAAAGCAAAGCAACCAGTATCTGGCTCTTACCTCTACTTCAGTCTAAAATGGCGATCCTGCCTCCAGAAATCCTCGCAATGAGGCTGAGCCCGAGGCCTGTCTCCTCCCATTTTATAATCCTCTCTAATGCTAGGATTAAAGGTGTGCCCCCAAACCACCCAGTTTCTATGACAAACTAGTGTGGCTACTGGGATAAAAAGTATATGTCACCGCTGTCTGGTCTGTAAGGCTGACCAGGGTGGCTGTTTTGCTCTCTGATCTTCATGCAAGCTTTATTTATTAAAATACAAATGAAATATCACTTACAAGGGGGATCTGGTGCCTTTGACCTCCACAGGAATCTGACATCATGTGCACATACTCAGATAGTAATAACTTTAAAGATTCAAAGTGAACTGGAATGTAGCTCAGTGGCAGAGTACTTGCTAGCGTGCAGAAAGCCCTATGAGCAAGCTGCAGCACTGGTAAACTAACAATACACTCAGGAGGCAAAGGCAAGTGGATTTCTGTGAGTTCAAGGCCAGCCTGGTCTACAAAGTGAGTTCCAGGACAGCCAGGGCTATTACACAGAGAAACTGTTCTGGAAAACAGATAGGTAGGTAGGTAGGTAGGTAGGTAGGTAGGTAGGTAGGTAGGTAGGTAGGTAGGTGGATGGATGGATGGATGGATGGATGGATGGATGGATGGATGGATAGACAGACAGACAGATAGATGATAGATGATAGATAGATAGATAGATAGATAGATAGATAGATAGATAGATAGAT